GGATACTGCATCATCTATTATGCAATGCCTTTGTGGACCAATTATATTTTGAACCACCACCGCAAACATCTTAGAGGAAAAACTCACGACAGACTTTCGGCTGACTGTGGTACCAACACAGAACATCTCCATCATCAACGCTGCTCGGTGGTTCCCACTAGACCTGCAGGATCAGGTTCAAGCTCCTTAGCCTGGTCCGTGAGCCTGGCCCTGAATGTTCTCAGCCTCATCTCTCACCACACTTCATGTGCTTCTTCCCTCCAGCTGCAGCCAGCGGGTCCAAACTGACTCCCTCTGGCCCTGGTACCAGGTGATTCCCACTACTGAGTATCCCCCTTCTCTCCCCTCTCCTTCTGTGTAGCTAACTACTACTCCTCCTTCAAGGCTCAGGGCAAGCCTTTCACTACCTGGGCTCACTTGGCTACTAAAATTTTGATCTGTGCCACCACACCACTTCACAAGAAACTCCCCAAGCCTTTGTCATCCGGATGTCCCAGTAGGCTGAGCTATGCACAGAGGAAGCAGACAGTACATGTTTTTGGAAAAAATGACCTAGCCAGAAAGTTGTCCTCTATTCCCCAAAGGAGGCACCTGGCAGCCTTCATACCCCCTAGAATATTCCAGCACAATTACCTGACTTATCCTCAAGATCTGCAAGTCTATCACCACACGCCTTCCGGAATCACCAATGACAGACACAGAGCAACTAGTGCTTCATCAAGAAGATGGAACAGGTGAATTGCATCAAAGCATTTTAGTTCGAATTTTGTACTTTCTTTCAGTCTTACAATTTAATATATCTATTTGATCGTAAAGTGAGTTATCTTCCAAAATAATGTTCACTACCTTTCTAAATAATAAAATACATCTTCCCAATACGTAAACCAATAGCTTTATTTTTATGCTAGAAGTGATGTGAAATTACATGTCATGAATTATTCATATCACTCAATTTAATTCAATTATTTTTACTGAATTCATATCTAATCCATAAAAATGTTTAACTCAACCAAAAAAAAAATCCTTGAATAATAGATTTCTCGTAAAATTTCAGGAAAGATAAGTGGATATTTGGTTTGAAATGGTAAGGCGTATTATAATTGCAATGATGAAAATAATTTTCGCTATTTAACCATACATCCTGTTCTATTTACTGACTGGTGTCTCATAAGCGAAACTTATTTAATATCAAAGTAGAATCAATAGGAGCAAGAAGTGAGTCCTAGCTCCAATTATGACCAAAGTCACTTTTAGATTTTCCAAAGGTGTCACATGTATAGCCGGCAGATGCCTCCTCAAATGGGAGCAGATACTCTGCCAATCAAAAGCACAAATTTGTACTTACAGAAAAAGGGGTCTGGTTTGCCCAAAAGAAATCATACAGGGGAAAACCATCATTCCCCCCTCCTTAGTAAAAAGCCCTTTGAGGCCCATGACATTATACCACACTCACTCCTCAGCCTCTCTCTCCCCTGCCAATCTTCTTGGAGCTCTCACCATATTTATCAATGGCTTTGACAATGATCTCCCTGTCCACTTACCCATCCCAAATCCTGGCAGTTTGGGGTGGTCTCAATGTCTCCAAAGAAGGTCTTGAAACCCCCTTGCCTCTATGTTTCTAGATGTCTTCTGATCCAGTGGCCTTTATCATCACTTCACTTATACCACCCAAGACTGCAGCTCCACCCAAACCAGAAGCGTCTCTACCTCTGCAATCCGATGGCCAAAGGGCCACCTTCCCAACCTCAGCCTCCCAGAACTTCTACTCTCTTCACACCTGCTCCCTCACCTCATTGAAACTTCCACTTGAGGCTGCAGTGAGCTACGATTGCACCACTGCATTCTAGCCTGGGTGACAGAGCAAGACCCTGTTTCAAATAAGAAAAAAACCCACATAGATGGATCAGAATAGAGAGCCCAGAGATAAGGTTGCACACCTACAACCATCTGATCTCCAATAAAACTGACAAAAACAAGCGAGGAAAGGATTGCCTATTCAATACATGGTGCTGAGATAACTAGCTAGCCATATGCAGAAGATTGAAACTGGACTCATTCCTTACACCACATAAAAAAAGTCAACTCAAAATGGATTAAAAACGTCAATGTAAAACTCAAAACTATAAAAACTCTGGAAGAGAACCTATACCATTCTGGACATAGGAATGGGCAAAGATTTCAGGAAGAAGATGCCAAAAGCAATTGCAACAAAAGCAAAACTTGACAAATGGGATCTAATTAAACTAAAGAACTTCTGCACAGCAAAAGAAACTATCAACAGAGTAAATAGACAAGCTACAGAATGGGAGAAAATTTTTGCAAACTATGCATCTGACAAAGGCCTAATATCTAATAAGAAACTCAAACAAATTTATAAGAAAAAACAACCCCATTAAAAAGTAAACAAATGACATGAACAGATACTTTTCAAAAGACAACATACTACATGCAGCCAACAATCATTTAAAAAAACTCAACATCACTGATCACTAGGGAAATGCAAATCAAAACTACAATGAGATACCGTCTCACACCAGTCAGAATGGCTATTATTAAAAAGTCAAAACCTAACAGATGCTGGTGAAATTGTGAAAAGAAAGAAACACTTACATACTGTTGGTGGGAATTAGTTCAACCATTGCGGACAGCAATGTGGCGATTCCTCGAAAAGCTAAAAGCAGAACTACTCTTTGATGGAGCAATCCCATTACTGGATATATACTCAAAGGAATATAAATCATTCTGCTATAAAGACACATGCACACATCTGTTCACTGCAGCACTATTCACAATAGCAAAGATGTAGAATCAACCTAATGCCCATCAATGACAGAATGGTTAAAGAATATGTGGAACATACACACCATGGAATACTATGCAGTCATAAAAAAGAACAAGATCATGTCCTTTGCAGAAACATGGATGGAGCACAAGGCCATTATCCTTAGCAAACTAATGCAGGAACAGAAAACCAAACACCACATGTTCTCACTTATAAGTGGGAGCTAAATGATGAGAACACATGGGCACAAAGAGGGGAACAAAAGACACTGGGGCCTCCTGGAGGGTAGAGGAGGGAGGAGAGAGAAGAGCAGAAAAAATAACTATTGGGGTACTAGGCTTAGTACCTGGGTGAGGAAATAATCTGTACAACAAACCCCCATGAGATGAGTTTACATTTTAAACAAACATGCACCTGGATCCCTGAACCTAAAATAAGAGTTAAAAAATAAGTGGCTGGGCGCAGTGGCTCAAGCCTGTAATCCCAGCACTTTGGGAGGCCGAGGCGGGTGGATCACAAGGTCAAGAGATCGAGACCATCCTGGTCAACATGGTGAAACCCTGTCTCTATTAAAAATACAAAAAATCAGCTGGGCATGGTGGCGTGTGCCTGTAATCCCAGCTGCTCAGGAGGCTGAGGCAGGAGAATTGCCTGAACCCAGGAGGCGGAGGTTGCGGTGAGTCAAGATCGCGCCATTGCACTCCAGCCTGGGTAACATGAGTGAAACTCCGTCTCAAAACAAACAAACAAACAAAAATAAGTAAGTAAATAAATACTTCCATTGCCTCAGCCCCACTGTACTCTGGATTCACTTACATTCCTAATCAGAGCACAGGGCACAATTCTTCATTTAAATCACAGTTAGTTTGCTTGTTTGTTTGTTTGTTTGTTTTAAACAATCTAGGAGTCATTTCTTTTTAATACTTTTATGCCACGGCTTGGGGACAGGTTCCACACTCAGGCTCCTTTCTGCTGATCCTCACAAAGTGTGCTTCCCCAGGCAGGGCAGGTGGGTGCTCCCGCTGAGCCAGGTGCTTTTCTCTTTGGCTTCTTGCACTGAGCATTTTCCTTCACGAGTTTCAGGAGGCCACCTCAGCCCTTAGGATGCTTCATATGCTTGACCTGTACGTTAATGCTCACGGTGAGACTCTTGCCCTCTGCTTGTTTACAACAGCACCACCAGTATGCTGGGTAGTTCTGCAGACCCTTCCAGCTTTGCCATGGTGACAGATACCTGGTGTCCCTTCTCTGAAGAGCTAAAGGACCACTGTCCTTATAGATTCACAAGCATGCGCATGGCCAAGGGCACAATCCCATGTTTTCTACAAGTCCTAGAAAACATTTATGCAGTGGCCCATGCCTATAATCCCAGTACTTTGGGATCCCAAGGAAGAAAGATCACCTGAGGCCAGGAGTTTGAGACCAGCCTGGGCAACACAACAAAACCCTGTTTCTACAAAAAAAAACATTAAAAATTAGCTAAGTGCAGTGGTGTGCACCTGCAGTCACAGCTACTTGGGAGGCTGAGATGGGAGGATCGCCTGAGCCTAGGAGTTTGAAGCTGCAGTAAGCTATGATCACACCATTGCACACCAGCCTGGGCAAAGAGAGCAAGATCCTGTCTTGGAGATGGAGAAAAAAAACACATAACAGGTGCCTCTCCTCTCTTCCTTCATGTTCATTATGTAGGCAAATTAATGAAAAATGGCAATTCTGGCCAAAAGGCTTAACTCACTTTTAAATCATTCTTGCCCAAACTCAACTATCATTTCCCGTTGAACTACCACCACACCTGCCCCACAAAATCCTTACCCTGGATTGCACTAAGCATCTAGTTTTGCACTTCTGTCAGCCTGCCAAGCACCGCAACAGGAAGTTGCACAGTTGTTCAAGTGGGTGGGAGCCATGACAAAATCACAATCTCCAGCCTCAGGCAGACGCACGGTCAGTGCCACCCAGAAGTCCTTCTCCAGGCCCCAGCCAGCTCCCTCCTCCTCCCCACATCATCTATTTCTAGCTGTCTTCACAGTCCTCAAGCTCCCACCCCATCATTTCACTGCTCATTCCTTCCTCACAGAAAAATTGAGAAACCATCAAGAAGATAAAGTCTTCATTTTTTGCCTTCCATCGACAAACTTATTGATGTCAAGATCATCCTTACTTCCAGGTTCAAGGGATGAGGCCCTATCTGTACCTATTTCAATGGCATTTCTTAAGCGACTAGCCTTTATTAACTTTTTCCAAAATGTTTGACTTAATTTTAATGCAAATGAAAGATTTTGGCAACTATATTTCACTGGTTCACTTAAAATAAATTGTATAAACTCAATCACAAGCACAGCTGACATAAAATGATTTGGGAACAAACACAGGAGACTCTTGGTAAACATGCAAATCATGGACGTGTACACATGCACAGAGACAAAGCCCACTGGCCGAAAGCATGCAGGCTAGCCAGTCCAGCAGCCACAGCGTTCAGACAGAGAACAAGGCTTCCCTGTTAACACAGTGAGTCTGCCAGGGCAGATCAGGTAACAGCTTCCTCCACCACATTTTAGATTCACCATGCTTCACTTTAACTGTATGATTTGTTTACACGATCCTCTCTCCTACCCTTTTGTGCAAGGAGAATCCCATATCCTGTTTGATACAGTCACAAAGTCATTGTTTCCAAGCTCAGCAGGGCCTCAACGTGGCTGAGCTACTCTAGCCTGTGCCGAATCAGTCTTTCTGCAGGATGTTCTCTGTGGGCTCTGTGGGCCCGCTCTCCGTCCTGTTGCATGAGCTCTATGGACCACCTATCAATGGGCTCCCTTGAACTCTGGTTTCTGTTGAACTTGACCAATGGGAGACACTGATGGGAGACCTGGCATTTCTTCCCCTGGCCCTCTTTCCACAGTTTGGCAGTCGCTGAGTTCCTCTACGGAAGGGCACAATTCCTATAGGGCGACCCTCTCCTACATCATGGTTCAATACTTGTCATTGCTCTTTCTTCTTGCTCCTTTTGGGCCTAGGCCTGGTAAAGATGTTGTCAGCTCCAGGGCTCTCTGCCAGCTCTTGTTGGTTTCTCTTAACCCTGACCACACCTTTGTAAACAGCGTCTTCCTTTCGCTTTCTCCAATTATCCCACTTAGGCATATTCCTGCCAGGACCCTGACCAAGGGAGTCCCTGCACCCACCACTCAGAGAGATAAACCCAGCATTGTTCTCAGTGCTCCACTCAAGACCCCATTTATAAGACATCTTCCCCTCCACCTCAACTCCTCTCCTTCCCTAAGGCTGCCTTCACTGACAACCTCCTGCTCTGCAATAATCATGCACATGCTGTACTCAACCACTCAATGCTTCTTCCTTTTGTCACAGCATTTCTTTGAATGGTTTTCCCTCCCAGGGGCAAGGCTGTACTTTAATCATCTTGGTAACCCAAGGGCTGATCGGCGAACCAAATACACACAGAAATACCTTGGCCTGGTTGCTTTTCTGTGCTAGAGTCACTCCGCACTTCATCATCAGCCCACTGCAAGCCACTCCCAAGTCTGGGACTTAATCACCAGCAGAAAGTACATTCACATGGCCTGTGTTACCCCCTCTAGATGCTAAGGAATGTGACTCCAAGAAGACTTAAATAGCAGGATCCAACAATATTCTGTCACCCTCTCCTTCATCAAAGACCCATTCATATTTTATTATAAAGATATGCATTTTATGGACATATTATATAGCAGTATTAAAACATACCTGAAATACCATCCAGGCTAATGGGTCTCCACGGAGTTAATGGCTTTAATTCACTATCATATGTTTAGGGAGTTCTTGTGTAGACACAAGCTGTGAACTATGAGAAGGCAAAACAAAAGTCTATGCAGACATACAGAAGGCTAAAAGGTGTACCCCAGATCTGCCCTGCTCACAGGGGATTCCAGGTCCTAAGAGGAGGGGTCACTCCTCCAGAGTATCCAGAACCTAACTTCATGAAGGCTGAGATCATCTGGAAGGGGCCAGACCAGCCCAGGCTGGACCAGGAATGCCAAAAATTGTCACCTTCCCATACCCATATGCCTTCCCAATGTCCTGTTCCCAAAGAGCCCCTGTATCCTGGAAGTTCTAGCACAGGCCCAGAGACCAGTTCTGCCTTGGGTGGGGGCTGGGGTAGCTTAGAAAAGAGTGCCACTTTGGAGGTAACAGAGGAACTGGTTTTGAGGGATGTGTAGAAGTCCGCCAGCGGTTGAAGATGAAGCCGGGCAACCTCAGAGAAGAGAACAGAAGGTATCAAGGCCAGGGGCAGAGAGCACACAGCACACTGGGGAAGAGCAAAATGCTAGAGGCTAGGGTGCGCACGGGGCGGGGCAGTGGGAGATGAGAACACCAGGATGGCTTGGGATCAGGTTCTGAAGAAGGTTGGGTACGAGGGCCGAGTTTGGCCTCTATGGTGGGGGAAACGGAGAGCCCCTGACAGTCTCTAAATGGGAGAGACAGATCAGGCCTCTAGCATTTCCTCCAGAAGCAGACACAGAGGTACAGGCACCTCTTCTGTGCTTATTTACGTCACAAGGCCTTTGCACGTAGTTGGAGCCATGATTTACACAGCTGTGCTTCCCCGTAGCACTTCCCACGGTTCACGCACGCAGCTGACACTCAGCCGATGTTTGTGGAATAAATGAATAAAAGAGTCACTATTATCAAGCATCTCCTGCAATCCAGGATGTGCCCCAGTGACTGATTATAGCCGCCAAGGCTACATGGGCAATGAAGGAAAAACATTACTCCAGCACAGGAAAGGGGAATCAGAAAAACCCCGGCGAACACTCCAGCTCTGCCAGCCAGCATGAGCGCAAGGGGACAGTGAACACCCAGTATCAACAAATGCCTTTGATGTGGTGTCTGCATCTTTCCTGCCTAACGAAAATTAAACCTCTCTCAGAGTGATGAACGGCTTCTTGTGCTTTTATTTATGTTCTACCTTCGGCATCTCCTGATCAAGATGGAATGTGACATTTGTGTTCATTTGGGCAAGGATGTAGGGACCCAGGAATTTTCTTCATCACAGTAATCAGAGATATATTTGTGACTGAAAATAAGGGTAAATTTAGGGTTTCTCAGAATATTTTCTAACTGGTTCATTAAAGGAAACAGAGTCCAAGTTATTAAAAATTAAAATATTTTAATACTAGCAAGTAACATTCACAGCTGTCATCAAAAAGAGCCTGAAATGTATTTGCTTGATCTTACAGCAAATAGGCAAGTCCATGTATTGTTTTCACTGTCATCGGTACCATCAAATTACAGACTAGCCATATACATACAGACACATATGTATATAAAAGGTACTTTATTTGATTATTAAAAGACATGATCCCAACAGCTGAGATTCATTCTAATACCCCACATAGAAACTTACATGTATACCAAGCCAGTATTTTTCTCCGCTCCCAAAAGAAGAGCCCTGAGCTCACACTTCCATGGGGACAAGACGAGCCACGCTCCTCTTTCTATGCACACTGCAGCTGGCCAGAGAGATGGGCCAGAGCACCTGGCAGACCCAGTCCAGTGAAGAGCTGTGGATTTTTGAGGCTATCTTTGTTGACCCTTCTAGAAACCCTCCCTTTGCGATTCTTCTCCCAAATTGCCCAGAGCTCTGCTCCAACCTCTCTCTTCCCCTATCCCGTGTTCCATCCTCTGTGACTGTCTCTTCCCTCAAAAACCAACCTAGGAATTCAACAAAGTAGGCATGCCTACTTAGAATGATTCTAGGAATCTGAGCGAGGCATCTGTGTTTTAGGGAAAGACTCCTAGAAAGCATAAGGCCAAGAAACATGAGGTGGGATTTTGGGGGGCATCCTCCTGTGGAGTCGCTCTGGACGGGTACATTCCAGCTCCCTGCATGCTATTCCACACAGTAAACCAACCATTTCACCTGTGTCTGAGCCTCTGCCCCCAATACGGCCCAAATAAAACTCCATCTTTTGCAAAGTCTACGATGCCCAGTGTCGTGTTAGCAGACCCTGTCCATGCTCCTGCGCCATACTCAGCGTCTATCAATGGCATGTCATCACACGACATCCAAGTGATTTGTCTGCTTATCTGTCCACCAGCCAGCCTACAACAATCTGTAGAAGCCTCAAGGGTAGGGACCACTTCTTTGTTCTCTGTACACCACAGTGCAGCATGGCATTCAACACACAGAAGGTGTTCACAGACTGCTTATCAAATGAATTACTTTTTACCCAGTATGTGAAAAGAATGAACTATGTGATGTGTTAATGCTATAGTCCAGGGGTGTCCAATCTTGTGGCTTCCCTGGGCCACGTTTGAAGAAGAATTGTCTTGGGCCACACATAAAATACACAAACAATAGCTGATGAGCTTAAAATTAAAAAAAAAAATCTCAACATGTTTTAAGAGAGTTTATGAATATGTGTTGGGCTGCACTCAAAGCCATGCTGGGCTGCGTGTGGCCCATGGGTTGGTCAAGCTTGCTATAATCTAACCTGAGTTTTAGTGTCATTTGGTTGCAGGGATGGCTCTTCCCTCCGACATGAAGCTTGAAGCTGTGCACCACGAGGGCAGAGCGCCAGGCTACCATTTCAGCAGCTCCAAGTCAGGCAGTGGTACCAGCCACAAACTCGCACCTCTGTCCCCTGGAGCCACCATGGGTGAATGAGGTGGGAGGTGAAGGGGACGGCAACTATTCTGGCCCTACAGTCCCCACCACAGGTTGATTTTATTCAAAAATTAATGTCTTCATTGTTTTAAAATGGATACTGCTTACATGTTTGTGTATTTTCTATTTAATAATTAATTCATTGAATTATTGCGAGTGGACTGTGTTCTGTTCTAACTGTTCTAAATGCTGGGGATACAGCAGTGACTCAGATGACATCCTTGCCCTGCAGGACCAGTATACCTTCCTCAAATTCATCACGCGGATACGTGGGCCCTCCTTAATCATGAATGGAAATCTCTTGTCTGCCCAGACTAGACAAACACAGCTCGTGGCATCAATCTTGCAGAAAGCTCCACCAGTTCTGACCACTCTCTCCATCAAATCCTGTCTGAGAGTCAGTCACTGCATCATTCCCTAGGGCTGCGGCAACAAATTACCACAAATCTGGGGCTTAGACACAGAAATTGATTCTCTCATAGTTCTGGAGGCCAGAAGTCCAAAAATCAAGGTGCTAGCAGGGCCCTGCTCCCTCTGAAGGCGCTAGGGGAGGACCTGTGCTTGCCTCTTCCAGCTTCTAGTGGCCCCTGCAATACTTGCCACTATGGCTGTGACCACATCACTCCCAGCTGTGCCTAAGTCTTCAACGGTCTCTTTGCTGTGTGGCTGGTCTCTCTTCCATTCCACAAAATCTAGCCCCCCATGACTGGCAGTCTCTCTTCTAGTGTTCTATGAATATACTTTTCTTCACAAATATTTAACTTCAAATTGATTGTGCTGTCAGATACGAGACAGGGATATAACTTTACATTTTTGGCATACCCCACCCCATTAATGAAATTATCCTTTCACCTACCCAATGCCATTTATGAAATTATTCCTTCACCTCTGACGAGGCAAAGTCACCTTCATCTTACAATAAATGTTCATGTTAACTTGGGGCTCTTGTTTTGCTCCAGAAATCCATTGGCTTATTCCATTGCTAAAACTACACTGTTTACTAATTTTATAGTATGTTTTAATCTCTGGTAAGTAAGTCCCTATTACTGTTATTGTTTTTCCCCCAAATATATCTTGAGTGTTTTCATGCATTTAAACATTCCAGTTGAATTTCATCAACATATTAGCAAATCATTCAAAAAGTTTTCATTGGGATTCCTGATGGAATGACGTTGCATTTACATATGAGATTTTGAGAGAATTGCCATCCTTACAATATCGAGTCTTTCGTTAATTTAAGGCTTCCTTTCTTCCCTTTAGTAAACTTGTGTGGTTTCTTTCCCTTGGTCCTGCACATTTCTTTAATTCAATTCCTGACCTGTCACTTCAATTATCCACTTGCCACCATCCTCAACTACGTAAGACCTCTCTTCTTCCATAGAGCGTTCTAGCAAAATCCCAACCATGGCTCAATCTAAGTGTATGAACCTTGAAAACATCATGCTAAACAAAAGAAGCCAGATGCCAGTGACCAGGACCGCCTATTCAATATCCATACACTTGGAATGAGATATGCCTTCACACTCACTAGCATGGATGTAATTTAAAAAGAAGAGCAATAACAAGCGTTGGCAAGGAGGTAGAGAAATTGAAATGTTCATACATTACTGGTGTCGATGTCAAATGATGCAGCTATTATGAAAAACAGTTTGGACATTCTTCCAAAAGTTAAATGCAGGTTGCCCTATAGCCCCAAAATTCCACTCTTAGATCTAGCCCCCAGATAATTGAAAACACATATTTATACAAAAACTTGTCCACCAGTCTTCACAGCAGCATTATTCAAGATAGCCAAATAGTAAAAACGACCCAAATGTCCACCAACTGATGATGGATAAATGAAATATCAAAATATGGTATGTCAATAAAATGGATTATCATTCACCCATAAAAAGGAATGAAATAGTGATACATGCTACAACATAAATGAACCTTGAAAACATCATGCTAAACAAAAGAAGCCAGATGCCAGTGACCAGGACCGCCTATTACATGATTCTGTTTATATGAAAGGTCCAGAATAGACAAATCCATAGACAGAAAAGTGACTTGGTAACTGCCAAGGGCTGGGGGAAAAGGAGAATAAGGAGTGAATGCTAAAGTCTATGGAGTTTCTTTTGGGGATAACAAAAATGTTCTGTAATTAGACAGTTGTGGTGGCCAAACAATTTTGCGAATATATTAAAAACCACTGAATTGCATACTATAAAATGGAGAATTCCTTCTGCACAACCCCCTCCTTCTACCCTCCCATTACAGGGAAATGATGTTTCCCCTCCTCTTTCAGGCTAATCCCTGGGCCCTTTATCCCGGTCTGCCATAGATCCTCCCTTCTCCCCTCCTCTACATCTCCAAAATCAACCTTTTGTTCAGCATTTAAATACACACACATTTCTCCCACCTCAAAAAAAAAAAAAAAAAAAAAAAAAAAAAGACGTGTCTTCATGAAAGCCATGCCTCCCCAGCCCAGCCCAGGCTCCACCCTCTGCTTCCTCTCAAAGGGACAGCCTACAAGCGCCATCTCCTGTTTCCACCTCCTCTCTTCCAGCACCCAACAACTATTTAGTGAGCACCTACGGAGTGAAGACACAGTTCTCTACTCTGAGGATAGAACAGTGAACAAGACTGACAAGCCCTATGCTCTTGGAGGATACCTGTGAGGTGATGGGGGTGCAGACAGAGAATACACAAGCAGCCAACACAGGGGACCACTGCAGGGGTGACACTGTTATGAACTGACAGGGGTAAGGAGCCATGTTAGATGGGGTGGTCAGGAATGACCTCCCCAAAAGAGGACACAACTAAGCTGAGACCCTCTGAGTCAAAGGCAGCAGCCATAAAAGCTCAAGGGTGGTCATGGAGTACTATGCAGCCATAAAAAAGGATGAGTTCATGTCCTTTTCAGAGACATGGATGAAGCTGGAAACCATCATTCTCAGCAAACTAACACAGGAACAGAAAACCAAACACGGCATGTTTTCACTCATAAGTGGGAGATGGACGAGAACACATGAGCACAGGGAAGGGAACACCTGTTGGGGGGTGGGGAGGGATAGCATTGGGAGAAATACCTAGTGCAGATGGCAGGGTGATGGATGCAGCAAACCACCATGGCACATGTATAACTATATAACAAATCTGCATGTTCTGCACATGTACCCCAGAACTTAAAGCATAATATTAAAAAAAAAGTTCATGCATGAGAACTCTTCAGACAGGGAATGGCTGGGCAATGGGCCTTGAGGCCACCATGAACTTGGCAAGTTTGAAGAAGATAAAAACTTCTCCATCCCCACCCCACCCTATAAGGGTCAGAAACCATGGCTCTCATGTTCCCATAGCTCTCTGGGTTTTTTCTGTCATGGAATTTACATCACTACATTGGAGTTGCATATTTAATTGAACGTTTTCCCTAATATACTTTAAGTTTTACAAGACAGGGAGTTTAGCACACAGTTGGTTCTCAAGAAATATCTTCTCATGAGTATTCTAGGTAGTCACAGCATCTGAAAATAATGGTTCTTGCCATTTCCCAGTATTTGTATTTCTTATTTCTTTATATTGTTTAATGGCACTAGCTACAATTTCCAAAACAAGGTTGCAGAACTGTGATGTGGCAGGCTGGCCACGACTTTAGTACGAATGTTAATGGCTTTTCCTAGAAATTATCCATTATGCAAGAGAAGTAGCCTCCTATCCCATTTACAGCTTTTATTTCTTTACTTTTGAGAAAAAGTAGATGTTGAGTCAAATCAAATGCCTTTTGCGTATCCATCAAGATGGTCACACAGTTTCTTCTCTAATGAATTCATAGGCTGTATTACAATACTAGCTTTCCTAAGAACGATTCTTTTGTTTCTGGAATAAACTCTCCTTGATTGCAGTGAGTTGTTCTTTTAAAATAAGGAGGCAGCTCAGGACTGTGGATAAAAGCTGGGACTTGGGTATTAGAGCCAACTACAAAATTAGAGAACAAAGACATTATCTATTAGGATTAAAAATGGAATTAAGAAGTGAGTCTTAAAAAGAAAAACAAAGAAGACAAACTTCTGGTAAATCTGACCAAGAGCAGCCACAAGAAAACCAACATTAGGGATAAGCAGCTATGACCTCGGCTGCCACAAGGACCAGCTGGGTCCCCTCTTGACTGTCAGCAGCCTCCTCTGTTAATGACAGAACATGAGCCTCATAGGGCAGTTGTGTGACCATCTCATAGCACATAGCACAGTACCAACTACCCAATCAAACCAAAAGAAGTTCTCTAAAAACTGTGATGTTCAATCTGCTAATATTTCCTTTAGGCTTTTATTTTGACAACCCTTGTCATGTGATACTAGCCTAATAACTTGAATTAGGACATTTCCATTCCTTCTGTGTTCTGAAAGATCTTAAAATACCTAAGCATTTTCTGTTCATATATTTTGCCTTTAAAACCTCTTGGAAATAGGCCAGGTATGGTGGCTCATGCCTGTAATCCCAGCACTTTGGGAGGCCAAGGCAGGTGGATCATGAGGTCAAAAGATCAAGGCCATCCTGGCCAACATGTTGAAACCCTGTCTCTACTAAATATACAAAAATTAGCTTGGCATGGTAGCATGTGCCTGTAGTCCCAGCTACTCAGGAGGCTGAGGCAGGAGAATCGTTTCAACTCAGGAGGCAGAGGTTGCAGTGAGCAGAGATCACGCCACTGTACTCTAGCCTGGTGAAAGAGCAAGACTCTATCACAGAGAAAAAAAAAAAAAAACCCTCTTGGAAATAAAAGTGTTAACACTATGTAAGAAAAAAATCCTCAAAAAAAAACCTGTCTGATGGTCCCTCCCTATGATAATTCCCTTAATGCAGGAGCAGTGAGGGGAAGAGATAGATAAATCATAAATGGAGTTAACCTGGGACTCTATTTTATCTGCCTCGAAAACCTAGCATCCTATTGTTTTGGCTTTTACAAACAAGACAAGAATAAGTGGCCCCAAGAGGGAGGAAACACAGCGGCGTAGCATCGCAACGAGGGAAGGGGCAAGGGTGGAGGTTTGATTGAATGGAATGATTCATGTTCGCAGGTCACGTAAGCCTTCTAGAGGCCTGAACTTGTCATCCAGCACATGTTTGACATCATTCTCCACACATTCATATACGACCATCACACGGCCATGTAGTGGGTACCAAGAAATGACCAAAGCCAGGTCCAAATGATCAAAGTAGATCCATCCCGTCCCTGAATACACAAAAACCCTGTTGTCCTAATGGGAGACTAAGATGCTATACTTGGTCAAATCAAGAACACAGGAAGTTCTCAGACTTGACCTCTAACTAGTTTAGTGATGGTTCCACACTTGTCAGACAGAACCTAGATAAAAATGTGACTTTTCTTTTTGCATGCCGCTCCACAATAAAGAAGTAGCTAGACTGGAGGTGGGTCAGAGAAAGTCCACGTAACTGAACCATGTCCTGTATGACTGGTGGAATACAGAGGGTCATTTTTCAAACATGGGAAAGGCTGCCACGTGTCAGAATTAGATTTTGTGCTGTGTGACCCCAAAAGGTAAAAGGGAGATCCACAGATGAAAACAATGGGAGAAAGATCACAGTACCACAACTCAATAGAATAACTTACCAAAGACAGCACAGGGTCAGCCAGCCTGGGAGAAAGCAAGATCTCTACAGTGAAAATCAAGACACTTGACACAGATCCTGCCAAGGAGATGGAGGATCAGAGAAGATTTTCCAGGTAATATTTAACTTATCCTTCAAACATGAGAGTCTGTGAAAAAGTACAGGAAACGACTAGAGAAAATCTTCAAAGGCACTCACCAGGCAATGACACAAATAGGAAGCGGTGGTCTTGTTTGCACTATTTCTCCTAATTTAAGTCATGCACCCCACTTCCAGCCAGCAGTGAGGCTGACTCAGTGCAATCTCCTTAGCCCCAGACATCCTCCTTACACATCTTAGTAACAAAATGGCAGGGAGGCTGGAGAACAAGCCACAAATCTGGATAATCCACACTCTTGAAAGTATCATCCAGAAATAAAGAACGGAGCAAAATAAAGCCACCACAGAAAACCCGCTCTAGTTATGACATGTACAAAACATCCACTGAAAGAGGCCAAACCTTTCTTGTTTCAAACTCAGCTTCACAAAGATATTAATTAAATAAATACGAAGGTGTGAAAGTGGACAAAGAGTCCCGATATGACCCTCATGGAAGGCTGTGCTGTAACCCAAGTCGGGGGCTCAGTGTATATCTGTGGGGGGCATGAACTGTGTGGCTGCAATCAGAATGGCCTCCCATCTGACAGCCAGGGACAGACTGAAATCTGGGATCTGGAGAACAAGAGATGACACAGCCTACTAAGGGTGAATTTGGTAATTATAATGAATCTTTACCTATGCAGAAACCAAAAGCTGTGGTAACTGATCTTTCACA